TTGCTGGTTGAGGGTTTTTTTGTTAATGTATGCTCTTCAAAACATTTATTGACTTGTCCATCGCTTGTCCCATCTATAAATCAAGAAAACAGCCAAATTTGCAATTGCCATTTATTAATGGAATCGGCTTAAGGGAAGTATACAAGACTGACTCGATTCCTCAATTTAGCACTTTCCAAATTGCACAATTGTGATGGGATTTGCTCTGCTAGGGGAGAATAGTCCATTGCATAACACGTAATCCTTCGGACACGAATGGGCCAATATAACACATACGGGTGGAAATTTGGATGAGTGGCAAGGCTAGGATGCAGGTTAGATCATTGAGAAGAATTAGCACTAAGAAATAAGAATTACCATGCAGGTCCAGTCAAGATCGTAGCCACTTGTGCATAGCAGGCCAACAATGAAAGCCATACTGCCATATGCAAATTTTTGTAACATACGATCCTCAAGCAGAACTTCCTTTATGAAGGTTAAAACATGCAGGCGGACTTTTTCTCCTCCGTTGTAACTAACTGCTAACTCTAGCTATGTGCTATATTCTTGAAGCAAGTGAGATAGTACGATTAAGTCATATATTTGGCTAATGCTGCTGTCTTAGCTGAGTAGCTGCCAATTTCATAGCTGCATAAAACTTGTAACAAGATAAGGTTTGAGAGTGTGGGGCAAAGAATATGAATTGAATGATTGAGTACTGTTTGGTACTTGATGTAGAAATGATGGAAGTTGTGTTGCATTAAGCAATGGATGAGGCTTGATGCAGTCAGAGGCCATTGCTGTGAATATATGCTATGTTAAGTCCTGATCTTCAAGTTCGGCAGTTCATTTCACATATTAAACTTTTCAAAATGGACATTGTGGACCCTAGATAAAAACCAAAAGAACTGCGGATGCTGTAAATCAGGAACAAAAACAAAGTTGCTGGAAAAGCTCAGCAGGTCTGGCAGCATCTGTGAAGGAGAAAACAGAGTTAACGTTTCGAGTCCGGTGACCCTTCCTCAGAACTGTGGACCCTAGGATGGCTGCCAGATCTTTTGCAAATTCAAACTTGTAAAATCTCTGGAAGTCCAAAGTGTATTGGAAAGGGACATACCTAGACAACCCCCAGTGATTTTCACACTTGCTAATTTCAAGAATTACTTCAAGAACAATGACATTTTTCTTATCTTGACTAAATGCTTGTTAGACACAGTGAAAATAAATCTCCACTGACTCCATCATGTAAAATGCAAAATTGCCTTATAAAGGAGCAAATGATTGGGAAAAACCCAACTGCTTGATGGAATGACCATGATAATTTATTTGCGACCCTGACTTTGCAGCTTGGAAGCCATTACCTAACAATTATCTTTACAGCCAAGAATAGAAAAGGTGGGTCAAGAAACTCTCTCACCAGAAGGTAACTTCAGTTTAACATCTAATCTTTGAGCTTTGCCTGCTGTTTTGTGTGTTGTGTCTCATCTTTTCAGGTAGTTCCTCGAGTCTGAGGGTCACCTTCTTGGTCTGTGGAGTTGTTGGCTCTGAGGTAACTAAATAGTCCGAAGCTGGATCTGCATACACTGCTGAGAGTGGTGTTTGAAGATGCAGGTGGGTAGGAGTCTTGTGTTTTTGCACATGCCTTCTGCTGTTTGCACTCGACCTCCACCTGGGCTTCTTGGAGATTCCCACATTCGTGAATCCTCCTTCTCCAGTTTGCATGGTTTAAGGCAAGAAATTCCCATGGTTCGGTAAGGATGCTGCAGTTTATTAAGGAGCCTTTAAGGAAAACCTTGAAGTGTTTGCCTGCCCTCCTGCTAACTGTTTGACATGATGCACTCAGAGTAGAAAGCTTAGACCATAAGACTATAACAGATAGGAGCAGATATTATGCCATTCAGCCCATCAAGTCTGCTCTGCCATTCGATCATGGCTGTTAAGTTTCTCAACCCCATTCTCCCACTTTCTCCCCTGTAACCCTTGATCCCCTTGACAATCAAGAACCTATCTATCTCTGTCTTAAATATACTCAATGACCTGGCCTCCACAGCCTTCTGTGGCAGTGAGTTCCATAGATTCACCACTCTCTGGCTGAAGAAGTTTCTCCTTGTCTCTGTTTGAAAAGGTCTTCCCTCTACTGTGCCCTTGGATCCTAGTTTCTCCTACCTATGGTAACATCTTCCTAACAAACTCACTGTCCAGGCCATTCAGTATTCTGTAAGTTTCAATTAGATCCCCCTTCATCCTTCTAAACTCTATCGTGTATAGACCCAGAGTCCTCAAAACGTTCCTCATGTGTTAAGCTTTTCATTCCTGGGACCATTCTTGTGAACCTCCTCTAAACCCAGTCCAGGGCCAGTACATCTTTCTTGAGACATGGGGCCCAAAACTGCGCACAATACTGCAAATGTGGCCTGACCAGAGCCTTATAGAGCCTCAGAAGTACACCCCTGTTCTTGTATTTAAGTCCTCTCAAAATAAATGCCAAAGTTGCATTTGCCTTCCTAACTACTGATTCAACCTGCAAGTTTACCTTGAGAGAATCCTGGACTAGGACCCCCAAGTTTCTTTGCACTACAGCTTGTTTTGTAATTCAGACATGTAGATGATGTGGCCCCACCAGGTCAGCTGATTGTTAACAACCTTGATGTTGGCTTGAGAAAGGACACTGATATTGATATGTATATCCTGCCAGTGGATTTAATGTATTTTGTGCTCACATCAATATAATATAATGTACAGGGTTTGATATAATATGATATAATGTATAGGGTTTTGAGGTATCTGCTGTACACTGTCCAAGTCTCACTCTAATTACTAGAATTTGATCATTGTTGAAAGGCATCTTAATTCTTTACCAATCTGCAAAACTAAGAATTGGAAAGCCACCCCTTATTCACTTATTTACTGGTAAACACCCTGCAATGGTTGCAGATTCAGCTATTTATTCTTCATGAACAATCCTGAGACCGATCCATATACCTGTTTATTTTTATCTTCTTGGACTCACCTCTTATGTCTAATCTCTGTGTATGTGTGTTGTATTGCTAATTCTTCTCTTGTTTGGTAATTAATAACATTACTGTTTATTAATTCAAACATCCTGGTTAAATTGCCACCTTTTAAACCAGAAGTTTGGGACATATCTGGGAGAAAGGTAGCCATGAGTAAAGGATAATTTTCAAATTAATTTTGTTGCAACCAACTGAAAGGATGGGTGAATAAAAAATGGAGCCAATTTATTCCCCGTTACTCAGGAGCTTAACAGTTTGGTGCATCCCAATTGGAATAGTAATGGATTGGAAAACCTCATCCAAAGTCTGGTGATAACAGTATTATTGCTATATCATAGCATTTGGCCCAAAGGTATGAAGATCTTATACTCTATCTTATTTTGGGATCTCTTGAAACATAGCACACAATTGGATACAGCCTCACAGTTGCAATCTATTAATTTAATTTTAGTCCCGACACTGTTGTGCCAGTGAATGTAATATTTCATTGTCTGTTGGATTCTTTAATTCTGTGATATTCATGCCTCATTTCCTGTATAAGTGGATAACATAGACATTGCCATATTAGGCAAAATGCCCTACTGGAGGTGAAATGAAATCAATTCCAGTTAAAGTTTGAAACATTGGATTTGTCTGTGAAGTATAGTGCAAACAGGATTAACTGTGAACTGATTATTTTATTTTCAATACACGTTTTGGTCAAATATATGTGCAACTACTTTTAGTCTGTAATTGTGTAATATGTTTCAGAACCTATATTAACCATTTAATGTCTTTACCCAGATTTCAGAACTATAACTTGACGTCTTAATTTGCTAAAAACTCAAGCAGCTAAACTATTAAGACTTGAACAGCAAACTCATCTTTCAAACTTTAAACATACCTGCTACAATCAAATGAAGAGGGAAGACGTAGGCGAGCCATTCCATTCCTCTTCACCTGGTTGTTACAAAATGCCACTTTGAAGTTTTAACCCTAGAGACACATGTTCAGTCATTAAATTTCTTCTTGCACTGCATTCATGTTCTTGGAGCTACTGTCTTGATATTGATCTCCACCACTACTTGCATGTCTGGAGGACCTCCTGACTTTCTGCTGATGCAGGATGTCTTTCCTTTTGTCTCCATCTCTTCTGTTTGCTAATACAGATTTGTATGAGCTCAGTTGGTATTATACAGTATCTCGCTAGATAGCAGGTTGTCAACCTTTTGGTTAAGGACCTTAGTACAAGTTGTTGACTATCTTAGTTGTCTGTTGCTTTGGGAGTGGGAAGAAGCTTAATTTACCTTCCACTTTCAAAAATTGAGTTATTGAAGCTATATCTACTCCCCTCCCCGCCCTGTCCTGCCTCATAGCAAAGATTTTTTTGTGTCATTTGCATATTACAGTTGTTACTAAGTCTGCTTTTAAAAATGAGAATAAATTACAAATGGGAATTTAAGTATATGAACTGGTTTTGATTCATAGTGTCAAATGTATCTTCTGCTGTGGGCTTTTTCCCTTAGCATCATTAATGTTGCACTGTGCTGACCACTTGACAGTGGATGACAGCAACTCAATTCAGTGAATAAATCTTCTCACCTGTCTCTTAACTTGGGTTATGTTGGGAGATTTGGTCAAATGTATTGATGCTGATCAACTTGAAGCCAAGTAGAACAAAATAAAACTCATGTCTGAGTAATGGACAATCATTCTGAGCAGATGAAAGCAGTGTCAATGGGACTGCATTGTGGTAATAGTGATCATAATTTGGTTAGCTTTAGAATGGTTAAATAAAAAGATAAAGATAAGGCAGTCATTTAAATTTGTGAGAAGAACTGTTTTACCAAGCTGAGGTGTGACTGGGCAAAAGTGTTGAAAATAGTTACTTGAAGGCAAATCGGTATAAGAATAATGACAAGCTTTCAAGGAGTAGCTAAAGAGAGTTCAGAGAGATATTTCTCTACAAAGCAAAAGGATGGAACACGCAATGATAAAATTAAAAAAAGACAGGCATACAGAACTAACAATGCTATAAATATATGTAAACTTTATTTTTTTGTTAATAGCTCCAGTAGAACTTAGGCTATATGAAATACAAAAGGTTCTCCAGTGCATACATTCTTAAACAGATAATACATTGACATTCCTTATTGCTTTCCCACAGACTAAATGGCAGTTCTCTGCTGTTCTTTAAGAAATAAAATAAAATGAGCTGCATGAGCACTTTAAAACAAGTGGTTCTTTGAGAAAAAAAGTTGCCTTTACATGAATAGAGGTACAACTTTATTGCAAAGGAATAGCCCGTCCTGCAAGCATTAGAGTAGGAATCAGAAGCAAATCTTTAGCTCTGCATCATATTTCAATTCACAAGTAAAGATAAACTAGAATGTCAAAAAGAATCTTGAGCAATGAGTTTGATAGCTTAAAGCACAAATCAAACTTTAGAATAGGGTTCTAGTTCTCTTTGAAAAGCTATGTTCCATACACAAAACATGTTAGTAAGTTATGTATGAAGGGAAAATCTTCAGCACTATTCAAGGACTACGTTAGTTTTCTGTAAATTTGTTATATGGTGCTTTCTAATTTGTTATTTAATATTAAGTTTCTCTGACAATTTAAAGCTATTTAACAAAAAAAAACTCGTGAGAAAAAATTGAAAGGAAGAAACAACCTCTCATTCTGATGTTAACAACCAAAGTGGTCTAACTCTTTAAGTGTGCTGTAATATTGCTCCACTTGTGTTGATGAAACATGTACACACTTACACTGGCATGAGCTAGAGCTTAAGTGAAGTCGCTTCAGGACTAATGCATTGAAAATGGCTTAAGAGAATCCAATGTCAAACTTTGAGCACCTAAGACCTTTCCTTCTAAATCTGTGAGAATCATATTTAGTTTAATTTCAGAACACTGGAAATTACTGAATTGAATATTCAAACTATCTGTGACAGTAAGCTAAACATGCAACTTCACCACCATGGTATTGAAACTAGGCATTACATTCTGCAGAAATGCTGTACAGATATAAAAATGTAACGCAAAGAAGGCATTACAGGAGGAACAATGGATTGAGTAATTTAAAGAAGCAATAAGACTTGCAAGTTGTCATTTGGTGCTTTGCATGTGCAAAATAATGTTAATTAATATTAGTTGTTTCATAGAGGAAATGAAATTACCACATTTCAAAAGTATATGTGCCCTCTAAATGTTACTAGTTATTTCAAATGTTACTGCCTGTTACCTAATGCAAAATGAACATCTTTCCAGTTAATTGTATGTAAAACTACAAGCTATACATAGGTGCAACTGAACACATAGGATAATCAATAGCTGTCAGTAATTGAATCCCACATTTATGATGATATTTGAGTGTTAATGAATATTATTTGGTTTACAAGTTTAACTTCTTGCCTGAAGCTCATTCAAAGACATTGGATATTCTTTTTATTACATTGTCTGCAGCTTTAGTTCTAAGATAAAAATTCTGAGTAGGAAAAAGGCGAGTTAATTCATTAAGCTTACTCCATCTGGAGCCCATGCATGATTATTTCACGATGTGATGTACCACCTCTACACTACAATTTTTTGATATTCTGCTTTAGTAAAACATATCACAGTCTTGGAAGTACATTATGTGTTAATAGTGCACTAATGCTTAATATATTTGTCTAATGTTCCTCTGTCCACTATTTCAGCAGTGTCATTGATCTATTGACTTGAAATGGTGGAACATTATGATATTATGGAATAAAGTTCCGTAATGGAGTTGAGGTACATATCAGTCAATGGCAGATAGGTTAGAGGTTTTGAATGGTCTACATTTGTTCTTATATTATTCTATTTTTCTTAATGTAATTTTTTTGCAATATAATTTCAAGGCAAAGTTCTTCATTCTGAATCTACAGTGAAGCAGATTTCTCTATTCCATTCATCAAGTCAGCCATGGTGTGAAGAAGGAACAATATGAATAGGTGATGAAGATAGTAGGAAACCAGAAAATAGATGAGGTGATGGGATATCAGATGCCTTTAATTCTTATATTGCAATATAGAATGACTGGATTCAGTACTATACATTATGCAACATAATTCAATAACACTATGCATCTAATTATACTTGTAACATTCACAGTAGATGATATGGACGTATTCAAATTGTTCATAGAACATTTTAAGGGATTGACAGCTCTCTGGGAATTACAGTGATTAATAACTGTTTTCTTGTTATTGTTTTCTCACAGAAACAAAAGAAGTCCAACTCCAGAGTTTTTTAAAGAATTGTAAGTTCACAGTATGCAAAGTATTCCCCACTTTAAACTGCAACGTTTCTTTTTCAATTTACTAAAAGCAAAGATATTAACTATTTGTCATTCAGGGACAACTCTTAATATACTTGTAATGGTTTGGACTGTTAATTGCACAGCAAATACCTGTGCAAGATGTAGAGTAGTTAGATACAGCAATATGAGATGACCTGAGATGTTTATCACTCTAATTATGATGATTCATATAAAGGCAGACAGTGATTAATAGCCATAACAGTTCTTCTTAGATATTCTGGAACACTTTTTGTGAAAATTCTGATTGTCGACCACAAAGATGTGAGAACATTAGCAGTCTGATTGTTTTATAAAATATATAAATTCAGTTCTAGAAATCAAAGAACCATAGAATCAGTACAGTGTGGAAGGAGGCCGTTCAGCCCATCGAGTTTGCATCAATCTTCTGAAGAGCATCCCAACCAGACCCAACACTCCTCCGTATCCTGTAACCCCATCTACCCTGACTAATCCATCTAACCTGCACATCTTTGGACTGTGGGATAAAACTGGAGCACCCAGAAGAAACCCACACAGACAGGGAAGAAGTTGAAATTAATTATTGCTTTAACAACTGTGCTTTTGATATTTTATTTTACAGTCTTACTAAATTCAGCATTGAAATTAAACTGATATAATCAATTTAATTAATATGTTTATTTTGAAATAAATACTGGAAATTGTAGAATATTAGCTAATTGATAAAACACATCAGCAGGATATACCATGTTTGGATTCAAAAACATTCCGTGAAAGGTAATGTAATGGAATAATTTTCATTTAAACGCTTGTGCTGTTCCTCCCAGTCTCCACCAATGCCCCCAAAATGAAAACCCAGATAACGTTTTTCTATTTTTATGAAAAATGTTTTGTATCTATTTGTGGAAATCATGTGCTTTGGTATTTAAGTTAAAGTACAAGGGGGTGGGTGGGAGTGCAGAATCTCAATTTCTGATTAACCTTACAAAATAGTTTGATTTTCTAAAGTAATTGAGGTTGTATTTTATAGCATTGCTGTTCAGTCTCATTCCTGCTATTCTAAAGTTGTTGTGTTATTACTGAACATTAGCTGTTATATTTCCAAACCATGTTTTCAGACTATTAAGAAGACATTGTTTCTGGAGATTGGACACATTCAATCTTACCTTGAGGGTACAGACTTTTCTTCTTCTTAAAATGTATGACTAGTTTTCTCAATAATGTAAATATTATGTGCCTTGTTAAATGAGAATGTATAGTATGCGGGGGTGTGGAGGTGGGAGATCAATGTAATTATTGTTCAAAACTTATTTTCATCTTTATAATATTTGAACAAGTCAGTTATTATTGAGGGTAATGTTAATGCTGTATGTGTTCCATATTGTGTGGGCGAGGGTGTGGGTGGTTGGGCGTTCATTTTAATACTTCTGGCTAATCACCTGATGTCAGGAAAATAATTCTGGTGCGAAATTCCAAGACATTAGAAAAAAAGTTTTTTGAATGCCATTCCTATTAGAAAAAAATGTCAGAATGTGGATGCATAATAGTGAAGACATTCTCACGTTGATATAATCCTATCATTTATATAATTTTAGTTTCTGTTGCTTTCAGTTAGACATAATCAATTTTTAATTACCTGCTGCAACTGTTCAAATTTTGTTATGCCTGAAGAGGTTTAATGATATTTTCAGCTCATCTATTCACAGTGTTACAGGGTTGAGCTCTAACAGGGTTGGTGGCAAGCCAGTTCATTGCTTCTCTATTTGCCATTTCTTTCCCCCACCCTGGCACACCCCCGATCCAGAAATCAGAACCTCTCTCTCAGATTGTGTACAGCTTGCTGTCACTTATCTATGAGATGTACTTGTTCATTTCTGCGAGAAACTTTCGCCTGGTGGGGTCCAGCTGAAATTCACCTGGCAATAACCTGCAAGTCCTGACAATTGAACTCTCAAATGTTTCTCGGGGAGTTTAAACTGTTAAATCTGTTAGACATCATTATAGTCATATAATTTCACCATCTCTTCAATCAGTTTGGAGGTTTAAACAAAAATAGGGCACCTTGACTTCTGGTGGTGAATGTCACAGAATAGCAACACTGGATTTCCTATTGGCTGAAGTATGTCAGAACTGAACATTGGACAATATGTAACAGCATCTTCCTTTGAACAAAGGAATCAAAACATTTAAGTAAAAATACTGCAGATGGTAAAATAAAAATAGAAAATACTGTAAACAAGAACAAGTCAGTCAGCGTTTGTGGACAGAACAGACAGGTTTACATTTCAGGCACTGAACCTTTTTCAGAACAGTCAATTAGCAAATCAGTTGACAGAAATGTTTTATATACGTTTTTTTCATGACATACCCATGATTGACTGGGATACTTTGGACATATATTTCACTGAAACAATTTGAGTCAGAGTACACACCACAGCTGTGAAATCCCTATCTGTACTCACCACCACTTAGCCATACAGTAATAACGATTGCATGGTGTTTTCCACAGACATGGGGACTTTATAAAAAAAATCGTTATCTACATTTTTATTTTGTAGAGAATGAATAGTGGGGTTTTAATATATGTGCTGGTGGTAGATCTGACATCCATCCTAATATGGCTTTCTCTATATCCCTTTGCATCATAGAAAAGTTCAATTTACAATTTTTGTGATACTGTGCTGTTGTATATTGCTCACTCAGAAGCACTGACAATTATGGTGTGTTAACATTCTCGAAATTCAGATCATTCACACTGGTGGTGTGGTGTAGCGAACAACCGTGTTATAATCTGGTGGTGGGCTGTGGCATTCTAAAGTTTGATCCATAGGTAACAGGACTGAATCTTCCAGCGCAAAATCCAGGCCATCATCTTCTATACCACACACAGCAGGCTGCAGTGGATTAGCATGGTTTTCAGCCTCGGACAATACAGATTCTTTGCTTTTACTCACGGCCCTCATTCTATTTTAAGAAAGAGAACATGAAAAAAATAATTAATTTTTATGGAATTTTTTTTACCTGAGTTTATTGAAGAAAGATAGTAATAAATTGGCCTTGTAAAAATAAAATAATGAGATAATTGTGACAATTCTTTTTGATAAATTCTAAAAAGTAAATGTGATCAGGTAAGTGGCATTTCAAGGAGGACAAAATTGTAGTATAAAGCGCTTTAAATGCAGAATATATGGAAGTGAAAGAACAACTCTCTTCTATATCATGTTGCAAAGATGTACCTCTGAGTGCTTCATATTTATGGATAGCTTCACTGATCAACGTTCCAAGCAAGAAATTAAAGTTAAAAGAGGGCATGAGTCGAGGAATCAGTGCAATGTTATAAGCAGTACTCTCTCCAACATACATTATGGGACTGATGAATTTAGTCAATAATAAAATATTTTTGAATGCAGTGAACATTATGTAAATTAACATAGCAACAACATTTTTTAAAGAAGGCATACTTTGGTTAGTTTAACATTCACTGGTATGCACTGAAAAGCTGGTATCATGAAAATGACACCATAGAGATGGCATAGGATTGTTTTTTTATTTACCCTGCCAGAAAGACAGTCTTTACTTCAGGCTGCTGATTACTTTGAATCCAATGCTTCCTCAAAACATGTAATTATGAAACTGCAACTAGAAAATCAGTGCACGAATGCATTGTAAATACTGTGCGGCATTACAACACATTAGAATAATCTAACGTTCAGCCTGCAGATAAACAGGGAGGTAGGGCAAGAACATCAGGTGATCCTTATGTAGATCCAATGGTCAGTTCCAGAATAATACTCGTAAAACCTGAAAGTATTCTTTTATAAATGCTTCATGATGAGGTATGAGAAGGAACAATAAATAAAAGGTATCCTTTATTAAATTTGAAGCAAAAGGATGACAAAACAAATAAACTGTACCTTGTGAACAGGGGTAGAAAAAGAGAATTTGGAATTATCACCAAATTTCTTCTCCCAAAAATCTTTTCCAAGTACCTACATTTAGTGAACTATTTTGAAGTGCTGCAATACATAGAAAAATATGGCAACGAATTATGTGCAAGAGCCTAGTGATGAGTTGAATAACCAAGTGATTTTGGTGGCAATGATTGAGAAAGGTACGTTGGCCAGGGTAATTCTTTATGATAATTCAATATTGGCTCTGAGATCTTTAACAAACCTAATAGGAAGTACAGCACCTCTGATAGTGTGACACTCCTTTGTACTTATACTCCGTCAGCCTAGATAATGTGCTCAGGTTTAATACAGGGGCTTTGAACTTACAATATTCTGACCTGAAGTAATATCAATCAAGCTAATCTGTCAACTGACAAGTTAAAAATAGAGGCATTGACAGTCACATTGTAATGACTAACCATTAGGTTAGGGTAAGTGATGGTCTAGTAGTATTATTGTTAGATTATTAATCCAGAAACCCAACTAATGCTCTGGGGACCTGGGTTCAAATCCCACCACAGCAGATGGTGGAATTTGAATTCAAGAAATTAAAAAAGAAGTCCGGGATTAAGAACAACTGATGACCATGAAATCATTGACGATTGTCAGAAAATCCTGGCTGGTTCAAAAATGTCCTTCAGGAAAGGAAATCTGCCACCCTCACCTGGTCTGGCCTACATGTCACAGCATGACTCACATGACTCACATGACTCTCAATTGCCCTCTGAAATGGCCTAGCAAGCCATTCAGTTGTATCAATCGCTACAAAGTCTCAAAGAGATGAAACCTGATGGATCACCCGGCATCGACCTAGGCACCAGAAGAGACAACGGCAGAAACAGCCCTGCCGACCCTGCAAAGTTCTCCTCACTAACATCTGGGGGATGGTGCCAAAATTGGGAGAGCTGTCTCTCAGACTAATTAAGCAATAGCCTGACATAGTCATACTCTAGAATCATACCTTACAGACAATGTCCCAGATACTGCCATCACCATCCCTGGATATGTCCTGTCCCACCAACAGGACACACCGAACAGAGGTGGCTGCACAGTGGTATATGTTCGGGAGGGTGTTGCTCTAGGAGTCCTCAACATTGAGTCTGGACCTCATGAAGTCTCATGGCTTCAGGTTAAACATGGGCAAGGAAACATACCATTCTCCCTCAGCTGATGAATCAGTATTCATCAACATTGAACAACACTTAGAGGAAGCACCATGGATGGCAAGGGTGGGGGATTTCAATGTCCACCACCAAGAGTGGCTCGGCAGCAGTACTACTGATCGAGCTGGTCAGGTCCTACAGGACATAGCTGCTAGACTGGGTCTGCAGCAGGTTGTGAGGGAACCAACACGAGGGAACAACATACTTGACCTCATCCTTACCAATCTGCCAGCTGCAGATGCATCTGTCCATGACAGTATCGGTAAGAGTGACCATCGCACAGTCCTTGTGGTGATGAAGTCCCGCCTTCACAATGAGAATAACTTCCATCATGTTGTGTGGTACTATCACTGTGCTAAACGGGACAGACTTGAAATAGATCTAGCAACTCAAGACTGGACATCCATGAGGCACTGTGCATCACCAACAGCAACAGGATTGTACTCCAGCACAATCTGTAATCTCATGGCCCAGCATATCCCCCACTCAACCATTACCATTAAGGCAGGGGATCAACCCTGGTTCAATGGATAGTGTAGGGGGAGCAGCACCAGGCGTAGCTGATGATGAGCTATCAACCTTGTGAAGCCACCAAACAGGACTACATGCATGCCAGCCAGTGAAAACAGCAAGTGATAGCCAGAACTAAGCGATCCCACAACCAACGGATCAGATCTACGCTCTGCAGTCCTGCCACATCCAGTTGTGAATGGAATTAAACAACGAAAAGTAGGCTCCACAAATATCCCCATCCTCAATGTTGGAAGAGCCCAGCACATCAGTGCAAAAGATAAGGCTGAAGCATTCATAGCAATCGTCAGCCAGAAGTGCCGAGTGGATGATCCATCTCGGCCTCCTCCAGTGGTCCCCAAAATTACAAATACCAGTCTTCAGCCAATTTGATTCACTCTATGTGATATCAAGAAATGGTTGGAGACACTAGATAGTACAAAAGCCAAGGGTCCTGACAACATTCTGGTTATAGTACCGAAGACTTGTGCTCCAGAACTTGTCGCTCCCCTAGCCAAGCTGTTCCAGTACAGTTACAACACTGGTATCTACCTGACAATGTGGAAAATTGCCCAAGTATTTCCTGCACACAAAAAGCAGGACAAATCCAACCCAGCTAATCACCACCCCATCGGTCTACTCTCAACATCAGTAAAGTGATGGAAGGTACCATTAACAGTGTTATCAAGGAGCACCTGCTCAGCAATAACCTGCTCAGTGACGCCCAGTTTGGGCTCCTTCAGGGCCACTCAGCTCCTGACCTCATTACAGTCTTGGTTCAAACATGGACAAAAGAGCTGAATTCCAGAGGTGAGGTGAGAGTGACAGCCCTTGATATCAAGGCTGCATTCGACTGAGTGTGGCATCAAGGATCCTGAGCAAAACTGGAATCAATGGATATAGGGAGCAAACTCCCCAATGGTTGGAGTCATGCCTGACATATAGGAAGATGGTCGTGGTTGTTGGAGGTCAGTCATCTCAGCTCCGGGACATCTCTGGAGGAGTTCCTCAGGGTAGTGTCCTCGGCCCAATCATCTTTAGCTGCTTTATTAATGACCTTCCCTCTATCATAAGGTCAGAAGTGGGGATGTTTGTTGATGATTGCACAATGTTCAGCACCATTTGTGACTCCTCAGATACTGAAGCAGTCTGTGTTCAAATGCAACAAGATCTGGACAATATCTAGACTTGGGCTGACAGGTGGCAAGTGACATTTGTGCCACACAAATGCCAGGCTATGACCATCACCAATAAGAGACAATCTAACCATCATCTCTTGACATTCAATAGTGTTACCATCACTGAATCCCCCACTATCAACATCCCAGGGGTTATCATTGACCAGAGACTCAACTGGACTCATCACATTAACACAATGGTTACAAGAGCAGGTCAGAAGCTAGGAATACTGCTGCGAGTAACTCACTTCCTAACTCCTCAAAGCCTGTCATCCATCTACAAGGCAAAAATCAGGAGTGTGATGGAATACTCCCCACTTGCCTGGATGAGTGCAGCCCCAACAATATATCGCTGTTCCTTCACTGTTGCTGGATCAAAATCCCTCCCTGTGGGTCAACCTACAGCAAGAGGACTGTAGTGGTCCAAAAAGGCAGCGCACCACCACCTTCTCAAGGGTAACTAGGAATGGGCAATAACTGCTGGCCAGCCAGCGACATCCACATCCCACAAATGAATCGAAAAAAAATAGGTTTTTATACCTTGTTTTCTTGTTAACTAGCAACAATGAACTAACGTTGCTAGAGAAAAAAGGACGTGCTCATCAGAACAGACACAAGAATACCAAATTTCAAAGCGAACAATAATTTATACTGCATAACAAACATGGAGCAAAGGTTTGTCAAGTGGACTCTGATTGGTTGAGGCATTGCAATGGACAATGCACGAGGGATCAGTTATCTCAAAACCTTGATCTAAATTCAAAAAAATTTAGCTGACTCTGACCATTCAGGATATGCCATGGGGAATACACTAAGGAACAAGTTTTGTTTCATGGAAAAGGCATTATATCTTTTGCTGGCAGAGGATCGGACCCTACATATGAATATATGTAGCTTATAGATAGCATAAATGGGCCAGATTGCTAGTCCCACTGATAATCTTAAATTGATTGTTTGTAAAGTTCTTCATATTATGTTTGTTCAGTTAATATTGTCCAATTGTGGAATATTATGTTTTAAATTTTTCAAGCACATACTGATTGAATATGGCTAGTTCTGTAGCTGATATGATGGGATGAAGGGATGTGCTGTTTGATATAATTTACTAGTTTTTGGAATGTACATCTAACATACCTGACATCACACTAGCACTGAATTTCATG